TGTCTTTTAAAGTGTTACTTGAATAAAGAACAGTTAATAGTAGCTGACTTTATCCAGTGGCATAAAATAAGAGTAAACAAGACATAAATTTTTTTTTTACAGCAGTGTGAATAAAAAGTTTCATATGAAGCTTATTTTATATTTATATAACTTCACTTCAGTTTTATAGTTTATTCATGTTTATTTATAGTTTATAATAGTTCATTTAATTTTTGATTGACATTTGAATTGTATCAAATTGTAAGATATAGACTGCAAAGTTAAGAAAAACAGTGTATAAATTCAGGCAAGTATTATAAACACTAGTTTAAACGGTAACACTTTACAATAACAGTACATGAATAATGATGTATTAATATGTAAACTAAACATTACTTTATTATGAATCAATAATGAGTTAAGGTATGCACTAATCATGAATTAACTTTACAACATGATTCACATGAGTTCATGTGTGAATTATGGCTACCTTAATTACTTGTTAGTTCATGATTGTTTGTTAATTAGTGTATTAATTACCACATTAGTTTATGCTTAATTTAACCATGATGAACTCATGATATGTTAATGTATAATTATGTTGTGACTTTACTTGGAGGGGCACATCATCATTAACCAATTCTTAACTACTCATGAACTCCTTATGCACGTCCAATAGTGAGTTTACACTAAATAACAATAGAAAAGTGTTCTGTCAACATCAACATGAAGAGGAGTTCATAAGTAGTTAAGGATGAGTTAATAGTGATGTGCCCCTCCAAGTAAAGTCAATACATAACTATACATTAACAGCTAATGAGTTCATGTTGGTTACATTTAGCCGAAACGTAAATGTTAATTAATACATTAATTAACAACATGTACTAACAAGTAATTAAGGTAGTCGTTATTCACACATGAACTCATGTGACTCATGTTGTACTTAAAGTTAATTCATGATTAGTGCATACCTTAACTCATCATTAATTCATAATAAATTAATGTTTAGTTTACATATTAATACATCATTATTCATGTACTGTTATTGTAAAGTGTTACCGTTTAAACAAGCATGGTTATATTAGTTATTTATTAGCATTTTAATGGCTGTTTAAAACATCTGCCATATACATTTACCATTGTGTTACCTTGAGCATTTGTTGAGACACCCATGATAATTAATAGAAGACAGTGACAAGTCATACAGTGTTTCATTTTCAAGCTGTAAAACATGACACGTGGTTTAGTACTATATAGGCACCAAATCAATTACACTATTTATATTTAACACAAAGCAAAGATTGTTTGGTATTACACACAAATTAGTATGGAAGAAAACATTTGATTACCTGTTCTCCAAAAGATATTTAGGAATTTTTGAGGCTGGTTATGCCATGAGTTTTTAAAGACTGAAAGTAGCCGCCCCCTTGACTCTGCCCCACCAAACAGGACTCAGCCCCACCCCCAGTGATTTCTCTGAAAACTCAATACTGACCTATTTGTAAGCTTAAGAACTGAAATTTTTATGTTAGTTTTGTATGCAAAGATTCAAATTTTAATCAAACTTGCTGACCTAGAATATTGAGTTGTACTTTAAGATGTCTTATAGTGGTTTCTGAAATGAACTAGCACAGAAGTACAACTTTGTCCATCACAGAACTTTATTCAGGATGTCTGTGGGGTCTTAAAAAGTATTAGAAGGCCCTTAAAAGTTATTAGAAATTCCTAATTGCATTTGTACGAGGTCTTAAAACAAACAAAAAAGCATAAATGTATTTATTTTCCTCCTAATATTATCAACGGTGTGCTCGATCCTCGCGATTGGTTCGGGCTGGGTCACATCCTGCCAAGCTCCTCCATCTGTCTGATGTCATGTAATTTGGGACAAACACGGAAAGGTGATGTGACGCTCTCCACATGTAGTGAAACCATAGAGTGAAACAGATGACACAATGGGAAAATGTAAGTTTGCGTTCTCCTGGTTGGAGAAAGACAAGTTTAAACAGTGGCTGAAGTCTGTCCCTGAAAAAAACAGCGTGATTTATTATTTCAAGCTTTTATTATTGATGTATTATTTCTGAGTTCTGTTGCATGGTTGTGTTCCATTGATTTCTTTAACTACAACTGTTTATTAACAGCTGTTCATTATGCTAGGGTTTGATACTGATTAAAACTTGCAGTGGTGATGAGGTCTTAAAATATTCTGAGGTCTTTAAAAAGTCTAAAAAGATTTAGAAATTTCCCATAGGATTCCTGCATATACCCTCTTATTAATTGGCACAAAGTGAATTTAGAACCTCATCTTTAAATGAACTTTTCTTTACCCATACTACACACTACATGATTTTCAAAGATTTCACCTCACTTCATTGACACCACATGACTGTTTTGGTATAATGAAGTTGCTGTTGCTAGTGGCCACAAAATCACACGTGTCACATGGAAGAATCTCTGACAACTCATTATCTTGTTTAAAAACACAATACTTCATAGCCATGCTGTCAGATTCATGCTTGCAGTGCAGGTTTGTATAAAAAGTAACACAAACAGAAGTCTACAAATGAGAGTGGGTGAGGAAATAAGACCACTTGTAAATGACCTTGCTTAGTATCATGCACTTCTGTTGGCTGTAGGTTGATGCTGTCATTTTCAATCAAAACATATTTTCTGCTGAAGACTGAAGATCTAGATGTTTAGTCTGCTCAATATTTCTCAAGCGCTGGTGATGATTTGATGCTTTTTTCTTTCTTGTTTTTAAAAATGTGCCTTTTGTATTCAAACAAGCAAGCATTGATTTTTCATTGAAATGGGTCATAAAATTGTAAACCGTTAGCTGGAGAAGTTAGTCATATTAATGCATGCACATTTTAAATGTTGCCTTCAGTTTTATTTGACAAAAATCCAAAACAGATAAACTCAGTCGGGCAAAATATTTGATTTGCTCTATTTGTTACAGGAACAGCAGATGCTTCAAAAATGTTTTATTCATATTTTCACTCACACACAGGCAAAATCATCACTCCATCATAGCATATTGAAAATGAGTTACCAATCATTTCACCCCTCTGACATGCAAATGTGATTGCATCCTTGTGTGGTGAGAATATCTTGCGTGGTGGACCATATTTCAGCCTTATACCTTTTTCATCCATTGTATCCAATGTCACTGAACAGGGCTCTGAAACACACCAACATTGAAATCACTTTTAGCGTTACAAAGTACATACATTAATTCATCAACACAACCTACTTTAGGACTACATTGATTGAATCTTTGTACAGTTTGGGCTAGGCCTGGGCGATATTGCAAAAAAATCATGCTATCATGTTTGATATTATTCGATATCGGTAATAATTAAGTATTTTTAACAATACATTTAGGAGTATTAGGATTTTCTTTATTTAACCACTTTTTTATTTACCAACATTATTAAGGAAAATAGTTTTAATGGTCAAACAAATATTAAAACAAAATATATGTTATCTTTATTATAAAACAAACATAAGTGTTAAAGAGACTCTTAAACTTGATATATAAAATGTTACAAAGTAACAAGCGTAAAGTGAAAATACTGAACAATCAAAGCAAACTTTAAGGTAGATCAACAGAAGGTAACATAAGGCTTTAAGGTGTGAATAATAATAGTGATGCAGTATACCTCAAGTTCTGTAAACAATACAAATTGTGATAATCTAATCTGAGCTTTTAAGTAAAGGAACCAATCATCATTATTCAAATACATACTGCAACAAAAGTTGTGAAGTTGAATGACATTATCCCTATGCTAAACGATTTTTTCAGATGGGGTGCTAGTGGCTGGGATGCCAAAAAAAGAACGAACCTTTACTTCTGCTTCGATACAAGTTTATGGGAAAAAGTAAAAACCGCTTCAGTGTCTGTGTTTGTCTGAGGTAATTAGTCTGCAATTAATACTGAAATTTGTATATGCCCTACTAAGTGTGAAGCAGATTGGTTAGTTCTACTTACATGAGCTGCAGTGCACACTCGGCATTCTCAAAAGTTGAGATGTTTTCAACTAGGTTTACCTGGAAAATGCACCTGCGCCAGCCACATGTGCGCCTTCAAGTGCAAGTCACATGTCTCCATTGGAAATGACAAACTTACACCATAAGCTTATTGGCATTCGGTATGTAGTTTCGATGTGAATCGATATAGTTTTTTTTTTAAACATGTGGCTGCTGAGCATGCGCCTTGGATAAAATGTGTTTTAAATGCATCCAAGGTGCACGCTCACCAGCCACATAAAAAAAAAAAAAAACTATATCGCTTCATATCAAAACTACAAACCGAATCTTTTTTATAATTATTGACAATGGTGTTCGGTCAATAAATATCATTACCATTTTTAGCCCAGTCCTTGTTTGCGCTGTTCCATGTGTACATTTAATACACAGGGTGCATGAAACATAAATGTATTTGTGGCTGCTGTGTTAACAAACATGCTGAATTAGAAATTTACAATCTAATGTTGTTTAACTTTTATTTGAGCAGTTCTTCTGTTTCTAAGTTGGAATTTGTAATTTTTGGTTTTGTACTACTCATTGATTGAGTTGATTTTAATACATACGTCTAAACTAGCTTGCGCAATATTTAATATGTAACTTTTCAACTTAAAATTAATAAATCTAACAAATTCAGAGATTCATCTATGCAGTTGTACACTGCTAAACGTAATAATTTACAGTTATCATAATGCAGGGTAATAACATCAATAGTTTTCCATGACATATGATTAATACAATATGTAATAAGGTACTTTAGATGGATTATTTGAATAGACTGTCTTCCAGGGGTTTGTTAAATTTGTCCATTTCTGTTTAAATGTAACTGTATTTTGTGGCATTCATGCCTGGGTGTAGTGTGTTCATACTTACTCAACAATAAATTTTCCCTGTCCATTCTGCATCCTGGCAAGTCATGTAGCTGGAGTAGGAGGGACGATCATCCATCAAAGCACCTGTATTCAACCCTCTCCCCTGAGCTGCATATTCTGTTTTTGGCATGTATATTGTATCTGCATTGTCCACATTTGGTGGTGGTCCACAAATCCCTGAGAGCAAAGCACATAATTTTTTTGACTGTCATTACCAAAAAGAAAAAAATCTTATTAAATCTCAATATTAGCCAAAAATCGTTTTATGTTATTAAATAACTTTAACTTGGCACAGGGGATACATGCCCCTCAGTTTTCAAAATCCCATTTATTGCCCCATTTAAAAAAAAAAAAAAATGTAAGAATGGACAGAGAGAGTTTGCATGAGTCAATGTGTTAATGCAGGAAATGTGATTTATTATTGAAAACGTCCCTATCCCCCACTCCCTTACATCCTTATATTAATTTAATTCATTTTAATGAGTTTTAATAACTATTTACTTTAAAATGAATAGTAGTGATGCTTGTGATCTGTTAATAAAACTCAACTTAAACCCATGACCATACCTCCTACTCATTTAGGGAATGGGGCGTCCCATTCTCCATTTGACCGACAGGTGATTATGTTCTGTTCATGAATTTGAGCACCCCGAACACATGAAAGAGTTACTGTGTGTCCAGGTTTGACTGAAATCTCACGCCCTGGTTGCCCCTCAACATCTGATCTCATGTTCACTGTGAGGTTTGCAGCACATGTGGCCTCTAAAAGAACAGAAAGATGCGGTCAGTCAATGATTCATCCTCCATGTCAGTCACAGATATGTCTTTGTCCAGCTAGAAGGTTTTACTTTAAGTGGCCGCACCTTCACATCTAGGAAAGGCACTGCTCCATTCTCCATTCACCAGGCAGGTGATTTCTCTTTGCCCTTTCAATTTCATCCATGGCTCTGTACATGAAAAAGTCATCCAGTGTCCAGGTTTGATGGGGCCCTCAATATAAGGGAACCGCTCAAATTTTAAGTTTTTTGACATTGCCACTAGAGAAATAAGAAATTGTCTCACATTTATCCACTAGAAACTTAACTTCTATTGACAATTAGATTTTTGTCAAGAAAACAATTAATGCAGCAGTCTTTGTTTCACAACTTCATTAGTTTCACTTACGTGTAGTCAATTGAGTTAGATTAAGAGTGGTAATTTGTTAACATCAGAACCACCATGAAGTAAGTTGGGGTCACTGCCTTTTTCATATGTACATAACAGACCTTTAATAAAATACTGAAGCCACACTTAACACACTTAACTTTTACTAAAAATTGTTTCATTTACTGTTCTTAGGTGTTAAAATTGTTTGGATGAAACCAAATAAAAAACGGCGCTGTACATTTATACCTGTAAGCACTAGCATGGGTCAAATTTCTTCGCTATATAGTGCCAGTGTTTATGCTCAGCAATGACTTTCACCCTCACTCATTGAATTTGTGGTTATAATGAATAAAGTCATAATGTGTATAAGAAGCTGATTTAGTAGAGGTATTGGAAGCACAAAAGACTATGAATGACGAAGTCTGATTGTGGGGAAATAAGTTAAAGTACGAGTTGCTTAAGCATCTGAGACAATGCACAATTAAATTAAATTAAGTGTTTTTTTCTACTCATGAATGTCCAGGCTTTATTGCTGTTGTTCTTTTATGTAAACTAATATAAAAGACTAAACAAATAAATAATTAGATGAAGCTGTGGGCTAGAATTTGTCATTGCATCATATATCATAATGTTATAAATTATATTGTTCATTCTTGTCTGTACTGTAATCTATTTTAGTAATTTAAATGTTCCCACCTCAGTGGGACGACCCCTGTAGTTTGTGCAAAAACAAAGTTTTTTTGAGCAGTGGTTGGGCAAGATTGCTAAGTGGTTAGTAAAGATTATCATCATCATCAAACTAGACATATTAATCGTTGGTGGCTTTAGTCTTCATGTTTGAGACAACATTATAAACAAACACTTTGATAGCTTTTATAATACTTTTCATAGTGTATTGAACAACATGTGGATATTTAAAACATGCTTTCTTTAGTTTGTGTTACCTTCAGCATTTGTTGAGACATCCATAATCGTTAATAGAAGAAAGAGAAAAATCTTGAAGTATTTCATGTTCAAGCTGTAAAACATGACAGATGGCCTTTGCATTGCTAATAATCCGTATCGACTGAATCACCTACTGAATATATATATATATATATATATATATATATATATATTCACAAAGCAAAGAATTGTTTGGTATTACACATAAATTAATATGGAAGTAAAGTCTAATTACCTGTATTCCAAGAGATATTCGTGAATGTTTGAGGCTGGTTGTTTTGCTATGCGTTTATGAAGACTCTGAGTAATGTTGCTGAAAGTAGCTGGCCCCTTGACTCCGCCCCACCAAACAGGGCTCAGTCCCATCCCCAGATATTTTACTGAAAACTCAATAGCAACCTAATTTTAAGCTTAAGTACTGCAACATGCGTTAGTTTAGTAATGCACAGATGCACTACAAAAATTCACATTGTAATTAAACTTGCTGACCTAGAATAATGAGTTGTGCTACAATATGTCTTATAGTGGTTTCTGGAATGAATTGGCACAGAAGTATAAAAAGTGTCCCATTTAATGATTTTTTCCCTGTTTCACATCACTGTTTCTGTGACGCCACATGACTTTGTATGATGACGTTGCTGTAGTTTGCGCATTACATGAACAATCAACAACATTGTTTTCACTAAAGAATCTCTGAAGACTCTTGTCTCGTTTAACAAAACAAATGCACAATAAAAAAAGCAGGAGACTATGTAAGATGATTTGTGAATGTATTTCTAGTATAAAACTGTAATCCCTTAAAATAAAGATGATAGTATTACAATGCAGACTTTATTTTTGGAAAAATAGAAAACTACAAATTAGAGTGGTTGAGGATATAAAGACCACCTTAAAATAACACAAAACCGTATTACGGAGATGTCTAGATGTTTGCCCTGTTAATATGTCTCAAGCGCTGGTGATGCACTTGTACTTCTTTCTTCTTGTCCCTAAAATGTGCTTTGTGCATTTATGTGAGCAGGCTCTGTTTTGCTTTATATTTCTAGCTTTTGTCTTCAATCTGTAGAAGACACTTTCAGGTAATAGACTCTAAAATTGTGTAGTGATAATCATTAGCTGAAGGAGTCAATGTCACATTCATACAAGTACATTTTAAACATTTCCTTAAGTTTTACTTGGAAAAAAATCAAAAACGAAGGAACTGATTTGAAATATTTTATTTAGATTTCCTCCATTTGTTTTTGCTTACTGGAACAGCAGACACTTCAACTATGTTTTATTCATAGTCAGTCACACACACTCAGGCAAAGTCATCGTTCCATCATTGCATATTTGTTTGAAGTCGCCTTTCATACGTTCATTTTCCCTCAGACATGCAAAAAGAATTTGATCTTTGTGTGGTGAGAATAACTTGCGTGGTGGACCATATTTCACCTTTATACCTTTTTCATTCATTGTATCCAATGTCACTGAACAGGGCTCTGAAACAAACGCACATTTGAATCACTGTGTTACAAAATATTTTTTTTTGATTTATCAACACATCCTACTTTAAGATTACTTTGATTTATTTTTTTTTTGGTGCAATTTAACAAAATTTTTTATGTGTGCATTTCATACACAAGGTGCATGTTGAAACATAAATGTATTTCAGTGCTTCCCACGGGTTTGGAATATATTTGGGATGGTAGCCGGATTGAAACACACCTTTTACCCACAGTATATATATATATATATATATATATATATATATATATATATATATATATATATATATATATATATATATATATACACACACCAAACTTTGCATTGGTACTGAATAATCTAATGAATAAGCACAAATATACTATTGTAAAGCATCCTGTAGAAAATATTAATTTAATAGAGAAATCTGTGAGGGGGGTTCTTAGCTCTCTCTCTCTCTCTCTCTCTCTCTCTTTCTCTCGATATATATATATATATATATATATATATATATATATAGCCTATATACACATTTATTTTTCTTCGGCTTGGTGCCTTTATTAATCTGGGGTTACCACAGCGCAATGAACAGACAACTTATACAGCATATGATTTATTGAAGTCAGGCTTTTGACTTTAATCCCCGCTTTTCTTAACCACTTTTATGAAATAGCCCCCTGGTCTTGACCAGGTTAGGTTCACAGAGTAAGTTACCATGGTAACTGACTCTGAGTTAAAGTTACCTCTTGTTCAGAAACAGGTTTGACTTACCCTGCTTTCTCGAGTTTAACCTGCCATTTTGAAACGGAAAACCCAGAGTTTCTCTCATTTCAGTTTAAAAATACTCTGAGTTTTCACTTAACCTCCTTTCTGAAACAGGCCCTTGGTCCTGGTTTGCTACTGGTGATAAACAAATTTTTGTTTACTAGTTCCTTCCCTAACTATCTCAAATTTGGCGTAGTGACACCATACCTTAGAAAACCAAACCTCGATCCAGCCTCTTTCTCAAAATTTTCTGCCTATTTTTAATCTTCCTTTTATTTCAAAGATGCTTGAGAAAGTTGTTTTGACTCAATTACAAACATATTTGATTTTAAATTCAATGCTTGAGACATTTCAATCTGGTTTTAAAGCATTACACAGTACTGAATCTGCACTTTTAAGAGTATTAAGTGACATTTTTACAGAAACTGCAAAATCTATGGCATTAGTCTTATTAGATTTAGGTTCTGCTTTTGACCTGGGGGCATTTTCATAAAAGTGGTTAAGAAAAGCGGGGATTAAAGTCAAAAGCCTGACTTCAATGAGCTGAACTAAACGTCCACGCTTAAATTGGTTCCATAACAGCAAGTTGAAGATTATTTGATCTAACTAGTCTGAGTTCAGTTTAAATAATCTAGATAACTCTCTGGTTACAAAAGTAACTCTCGGGAACGGAAATGCTATAGTGGATGTTTAATCCACGAATGGGGATTTCATTTCAGAAAGCCAATTGTCTGAAAGAGTATATAACGGGCCAATGAAATGCCAAATGAGTTGGCAGCGTAAGATTGCGCACGTGTACCTTATTGCCATTTAGCTCCGCATATAAGCACAGGGAAAGCAAGGAAACGCCATCCTTTTAAGCTGAAAAGACTCACACTTGCAGCTAAGGAACAATCATTATGGCGATGCTATATAGCATTTCCGTTCCCCTCCTCGGGAACGAGGGTTACTTTAGTAACCAGAGCGTTCCCTTTCGGATGGGGAACTTCAATGCTATATTGGATGTTTAATCCACGAATGGGAAAATGTCTGGAAAACGCCATTATGACTGCACCTTACCTTCGCCTCTGATGATAGGATAGTCAGGCATAGCGTGAGCGCTCCTGCATGAAAGAAAGACGCGGTCTTCCAATGTGATCCCTGGTCCTTACTTATCCCACTTCAAAGAAGTTTTACGGTTTTAGATATATTTTTTGGGAGTCGCAAGCGTCTAGATAATTCTAGGAAAATACGAAGGGAAAAGGGTTGGGAACATTGGGAAAGCGTGCAGTCCCTATAGGGAGGATGTTGCGGAGGCCACCTACTACCCAATGGGCAGATATTATGGCAAAATATATGGACTAGCCCTGAGAAGGGGGAGTATGCATATAATAAGGTGGTTAGCGGAGAGGGAAGACACGGGTCCGCCCATGAAGGCGGACTGCACCGTTGCTGAATAAGCATATGGGATCGCCTAGTGGGGATCACGCATAGCGGGCACCTATACCCAAAAAGGGGGCTGACAAGCGGTCAGACCTACAATGTAATGGGCCAGCCAGTGACTCCTCCACTGAGTCAGTGCTGTGGGCCTCGGAGGAATCTGCAGGGCGAGGGTGCCAGATGGTGCCCTGTCCCTGAGAGAGTAGGTCCTTTCTCAAAAAGATCTGTGCAGGGGACAGTGCATCCGTGCCGAGAGAGCCCTCGGTCAGGGAAAAGAACAACTGGCAATGAGCGTTTTCGGGAGAAGTAACAGATTGAGCTGGGCTTCCACGAATCGCGCCCATATCAGCTGAACAGACTCTGGGTGGAGTCTCCATTCTCCGGGATGGCTCCATTCTCTAAAGGCTGCCATGAGAGCGTGTCGGCTGCACGGTTGAGCTTGCCTGGAATGTGAATGGCGCACAGCGATTTCAGCCACGGATGACTCTAGAGGAGCAGACGGCGGGCAAGCTGAGACATGGGGGAAGAGCGAATACCCCCATGCGGTTGATATACGCCACTGCCGCCGTGCTCTCTGTCCTGACCAGAATATGCTGCTGCTCCAGCACCGGAAAAAAATGGTGGAGAGCGAGAAACACTGCCAACAGCTCCAATCGATTGATATGTCAATGCAACTGGGTTCCTTTCCACAGGCACGCAGCTGCACGACCGCAGCACACAGCCCCCAGCCCGTGCTGAAAGCATCTGTTGAAACAACAACATGACTGGAAGTCTGTCCTAGAGGCACTCCGGCCTGTAGAAACAAGGGGTTGTTCCAAGGGTTGAGGGTGCGGCGACACAGCGCAGTAACAGTGACTCGGTGTGCGCGCGTGTGCCATGCGCGTTTGGGGACTCGATTGTTGAGCCAGTGCTGGAGTGGTCTCCTATGGAGTAATTCGAGCGGCGTGACAGCGGCTGCGGATGCCATATGCCCCAGGAGCCTCTGTAATAATTTCAGTGGGACCACTATTTTGCTGTCGAGCTCTCTCAGACTTTCAGTATAAACTGAGCACGCTCTCCGGAGAGGCGCGCTGCCATGGTGACAGAGTCCAGCTCCAGCCCAAGGAAAGAGATCCTCTGCACGGGGCGAGTTTGCTTTTTCCTCGGTTGACCTAAAACCCCAACATGTGGAGGTGCCGGAGCACCTTGTCCCTGTGCATAATCAATTGCTCCCTAGAGTGGGCTAAAATCAGCCAGTCGTCAAGATAATTGAGTATGCGGATGCCCGCGAGCCGAAGGAGTGCTAAGGCACCCTTCGTGAGCTTGGTGAAGACCCGCAGAGACAGAGAGAGCCCGAAGGGGAGGACTTTGTATTGCCAAGCTCGACCTTCGAACGCAGAACTGCAGAAACTGACGGTGGCAAGGAAAAATTAAGACATGGAAATACGCATCCTTCAGGTCTAATGCTGCAAACCAATGCTGAGAACAAACGCACTGGAGGATGCGCTTTTGCGTGAGCATTCTGAACGGCGGCTTGTGCAGACAGCGGTTCAAAACGTGCAGATCTAGGATTGGCTGTGACCCACCGCTCTTTTTGGGCACGATGAAGTAGGGGCTGTAAAACCTGCTCTCCATCTCGGTAGGAGGGACCGGCTCCGTTGCATCCTTCGCCAGGAGGACAGCAACCTCCTCTCGCAAGACAGGGGCAGACAGGGGCTGAACCTGGTGAAAAACACACCCGTGAACTTGGGGGGCTGTTTCGCAAACTGAATCGTGCTAACCAGGCAGGCAGAGCTCTCGCTAATGGACTCATTGCTACAATCGCTGATGTACCAGCAGCGGGCCAGCACAAAGTGGGTGTGCTGATTCGGGAAGCGCGAGGGTCCCGCGGAAGAGCTGGAGGCAAGAGATTTGCTCTCACTGCGCACCCAAACTCCGGAGAGTGGGCTCGAGGGGTGGGAGAAAGGAGACCGTCCTCCCATCGCTCATGAGCCACTGGCGAAATGCACCGAACCTGCTAGCTAGAAGCATAGCGTCTCAGACTGGCAGATTTCGGGCTGTCACATCCGGGAAAGTGGAAAAGTGCTCTTTTATTGATGTTTTCATAGCAGTAAAAAGTGCCGTTGGAAATGGGGCCCGCCCCTCCAGGCCCGCTGAATGATTCATATGGGAGTCGCTGGGATAATTAGGTAAAAATAAATCCTGATTATATTTAAACTGAAGTAATTGTATTTGTGCACAAAAAAAATTCACTGTTAAATGTTAATGTGGGATCTTTGGCCCCACAAATTACCCAGTGTGCAAGAAATCGCAATGTTATGTTTGATAAAACTTAAAATTTGACAAACAGATCGGTACTGTTGTAAAATCTTGCTTTTACCATGTCAGACAACTGTCTAAAGTCCCGTTTACACTAATGCGTTTCAGTTTGAAAAAGCATAAGTTTTGCTACGTTTACGCCATCAGTCCACACTACGCCGGAGTTTTTAAGCGCCGAAAACAGAGTGTTTTGGAAATGCTGAAGAGGCCGTTTTCATTGTAAAACGCTGCTGCTCCGTCTCAGTGTGGATGAGGAAAACAGAGACATCTGAAAACGGAGGCGGGGCTGCCGACATCTGCCTATTTGATTGGGGCTTTTCCTCAATATTAAGAAGCCTACACACACAGTTCAGTCCTGCATCCTCTCCTTGTAAGTTCAGACTTCACAAGTTTGATCAAGACTGCAGTCTCCCCCTCCTCAGTTTGATATGGAAAACATACCGAGAACACGGGTAAATCTTCAAAGGGAACAGTGTACTTATAATTTCATTCACATCACCCTGGCTACGTTGTTTTAGTTTCTCAACAATAAAATATAAACATGATATAAGGAACTGCCTATTTTCATTTTGATATTAGCAACTTAAAAGACAGAAGAAATGTTGAGGCGTTGTGCTGCATGTATGAGCGTCATCTTCACTGTGTGGATATTTATAACAAAACGGAGCCTATAACAACTGCCTCCTTTCAATTTTTAGTGAAAATTTGAAACATACCCTCTCTTTTGCTGAATATCAGTTTTAAGAATCGATAATGGCCATTATAAAAGTATAACATACAATAAGTTTATACATTATAGGAAATAAGGGCAAGTGATCAGTCAATATACAGAATGTAGGCTACGTGGTTACATTAATCATTAACTTATCTTTGTGCCTAGCCAAAACATGTTACCTGAGAACAAATAATAGATTCCAATGACCAAAGTCAGGGAATATGTCGTTAGATAAAGACAACAAGATGAATGAAATATCCCGTTTAATAAATATAGTGAGATTAGATCCAGCGGGAGATCCTTGATGAGCAGTCCGACCAGCACAGCTCTCATCTGGGTAGACAGGCTGCAGCGCTTGCCCGAGAGTGTGTGTGTGGTCACGTGATGTGTTTTAGTGTGGACGTAGAGCTTTTCAGAAGTGCTGGGTGAAACGCTGGTGTGGACGTGGATTGTTTTCAAACGCTGTTTTAAAACTAAAACGCACTAGTGTAAACGGGGCCTTAGTCTTCCCTCTCCCGTCTGCAGCTGGTACAAAGTGCGGCTGCTAGACTACTCTCTGGCACCCACAAGTATGAGTCGGAAATTCTGATTTTAACTGCTCTTACCCATTAAATACAGAATTGATTTGAAAATTGTATTATTTGTTTACAATGCTGTCAATGATCTTGCTCCTCAGTATCTTACAGACTTGCTTTGTCCATATACCCCCTCTCAATCATTGAAATCTTATGATCTCAATTTACTCACAGTGCCCAGAACATGCCTTAAACGAGGTGATCGAGCGTTTGCTGTTGCTGGTCCTAAACTCTGGAACACTCTACCAATTCACATTAGACTTTCCCCCTCCATTTCTGTGTTTAAGTCTGTTTTAAAGACCTATCTATTTTCTATCACTTTTAATACTTCTTGATCACTGTTTTATTGCTTTTATTTGTTAAATGTGTCTTTTATATTCTGCTTCTCTTTCTATAGTACTCCTTTGTACAGCACTTTAGGGTGCTTTCATACCTGTAAATCGATTCAGTTGTTCCGAAACAGAAATAAAAATTGTTACATTGTTGCTTTTTGCTCTTGGAGAGGTTCGCTTTTACACGGCAACAATTCTAATCGGACCAAAAGAGTTAAAACAAGTCATGTGTAAGTAAACTCTCCTCACATTTGTCAGAGTGTCAGGGTTTATTTTGCAGAGTCCCGCTTAGCTGTCAGGAGGGGCGGTGGTTTGGTGGTGCGACATGTCTGAAGAGTGAGGAGAGATGCGGTGGGGAGGGGTGAGAAGGGTGCGCGACGTAACCTATCTGAGGTCCGGGAGGGAGACGCGAGATTACCGGGAGATTATTACTCATTTGCGGGCATCCGGAGATTCGTGAAACTTCCCGCCCTACTCATAATTCTCTCTTTATTTAGCCGCATGCCTATAAAACACAGTGATATAACTGCGCTTGGATCGTTTGCTTTCTCACTGCAATCGATCCACTCCAGAGTTCGTTTCAATCAAGCTGACACCACCTCTTTCTAGCCATCTTGGAGCGATTGATTTGGCGCGGATCCGAGAGCAATTGGTGGTTTCACATATGCCAAACGAACCGCGCTAACTGGGCAAACGAGACAGGTTCCAAAACAAAAGTGTAGGTGTGAAAGCACCCTTAGTCAACCCTGGTTGTTTTTAAATGTGCTTTATAAATAAATATTGCATTGTGTTCTATATTTATTATTATCTGTTTTTAACTTTTTTTTTCAATTGGTTAAAGTTAGAAAAAAATCCACTATTTCTCTTTTATGCTATTCAGGAGCCATGTGCACCCACTGACAGGTAAAATCTCCCTTTTTCTATCTCTCATTCAAGTTCAGGTTGCTTTATTGGTATGACATTTTGCACAATATTGCCAAAGCATTTTAGATGTATAAAATATGTAATATATTGAAATAATCAAGTTAATAAAATATACAGCAAATGAGAAATAAATGGCAGAAAAAAGGAATAAAACAGACATTATCTCTAAAAATTATAATAATTACAAGAATAAAACGCGTAGATTATTTAAATATGGCAAATTAGTTGATTACCTATTTCTAATGGTGTACAAATATTCTGCAGCGATTTAAATGTAATATAGTTCTCAGTCCTACCTGAGTCATAATTGATTATTTAATGTCTCTCTCGTGCCTGTGCGCATAAAATTAACAACAGCTTAGAAAACGAAAGCAACATCCCTGTGGTGGGGGGCTGCCTAAGTAAAGCCTACGTGTGAGAAGCACTGTATTTGCGGTTGCTGTGTTGCTGACTTAGAAATTTACAAACTTATTTTGTTTAACTTTTATGTGAGCAGTTCTTTTGTTTATAAGTTTGAGTTTGTAATGGTTTCGTACTACTCATTAATTGAGTTGATTTTAATACATACGTCTAAACTGGCTTACGCAATGTTTACTACTTAACTTTTCAGGTAACAAATCGAAAGAACAAATTCAGAGATTCATACATGCAGATGTACATTGCTAAACATGTAATAATTTAGTGTTTATAATGCAAGGCAATAACATAAATACTTTCAAATGACAAACATTCTTTGAATAGACTGTCTTCCAGGGATTTGTTTTATATTTTCATTTTCTTTTAAATGTAACTATTTTGTGGCATTCATGCCTGGGTGTAGTGTGTTCATACTTACTCAAACAATAAATTTTCCCTGTCCATTCTGCATCCTGGCAAGTCATGTAGCTGGAGTAGGAGGGACGATCATCCATAGTGTATTTATCAAAGCACCTGTATTCAACCCTCTCCCCTGAGCTGTATTCTGTTTTTTGCATGTATATTGTATCTGCATTGTCCACATTTGGTGGTGGTCCACAAATCCCTGAGAGAAAAGCACATATTTTTTTGACTGTCATAACCAAAAAAAAAACAAACAAAAAAAAACATTTTAAATCTCAATATTAGTCAAAAATCTTTTATGTTATTAAGGCAGATGCATAACTTTAACCAGGGACAGGGGATACATGCCCCTCAGTTTTCAAAATCCCATTTATGACCCCATTTAAAAAATATATATATATGTTTTTTTGACACTGCAAATGGACAGAGAGAGTTTTCATAAGTAGATGTACGCGTCCCTGTCCAATAACTGTGTGCATGCTCTAAAAATAATTCTGCGAATATTATAATGAGCAGGTATTACGTTTGAAAAAAAGACAAGCAAAAAAGATGACTGTAGAGTCAACATGGATGAAAAAGAAGATATGAGTCAGCCGATCCAGTATAATGCTCAGATCAGAATTATTGTATTATCTGTCAGACAGCACTCTGTATGTCTACATCTGCTGATGTTGGTTTAATGTTTAGGAATTTGTGCTGCACAAAAACTTTGCACCAGGAATGTTAATAAAACTGCTACTCTTACATTTTTTAGGCTAGTTTGAAATAAAAAGAGTTTAATCAGCCAAATTTTTTTCCTGGAGTTTATATCACTATATTTGTTAATGCAGAAAACGTGATTTGTTATTGAAAACGTCTCTATCCCCCACTCCCTTACATCCTTATATTAATTTAATTAATTTTAATAAGAAGTTTTAATAACTATTTACTTTAAAATGAATAGTAGTGATGCTTGTGATCTCTGTTAATAAAACTCAACTTAAACCCATGACCATACCTCCTACACATTTAGGGAATGGGGCGTCCCATTCTCCATTTGACCGGCAGGTGATTTTATTCTGTCCTTGAAATTGAGCACCCCGAACACATGAAAGAGTTACTGTGTGTCCAGGTTTGACTGAAATCTCACGCCCTGGTTGCCCCTCAACATCTGATCTCATGTTCACTGTGAGGTTTGCAGCACATGTGGCCTCTAAAAGAACAGAAAGATGCGGTCAGTCAATGATCCATCCTCCATGTCAGTCACAGATATGTCTTTGTCCAGCTAGAAGGTTTTACTTTAAGTGGCCGCACCTTCACATCTAGGAAAGGCACTGCTCCATTCTCCATTCACCAGGCAGGTGATTTCTCTTTGCCCTTTCAATTTCATCCATGGCTCTGTACATGAAAAAGTCATCCAGTGTCCAGGTTTGATGGGGCCCTCAATATCAGGGAACCGCTCAAATTTTAAGTTTTGCACTGGTGTGTTTATAGGACACATTGCCACTAGAGAAATCAAAAATTGTCACACATTTATCCACTAGAAACTTTTTTTTTGTCAAGAAAACAAATAATGCAGCAGTCTTTGCTTCCCTTCATTCATCTGTTAGTTTCACTGACATGTAGTCATTTGAGTTAGATTAAGAGTGGTAATGTGTTAACAGTAGAACCACCATGAAGTAAGTTGGGACTTTTTTCATATGTACATAACAGACCTTTAATAAAATATTGAAGCCACACTGTCTTTAACTTTTACTAAAAATTGTCTCATTTACTGTTCCTAGGTGTTAAAATTGCTTGGATGAAACCAAATGCGGCCAAAAAACGGCAAAAAAAAAAAAAAAAAAGCGGCGCTGTACTTTTATACCTGTAAGCACTAGCATGGGTCAAATTTCCTCGCTATATAGTGCCAGTGTTTATGCTCAGCAATGACTTTCACCCTCACTCACTCATTGAATTTGTGGTTATAATAAATAAAGTCATAATGTGATTTAAAGCTGATTTAGTAGAGGTATTGGAAGCACAAAAGACTATGAATGACGAAGTCTGACTGTGTGGAAATAAGTTAAAGTTCGAGTTGCATAAGCACCTGACAACTGATCTCTGAGACAATGCACAATTAAATTTAAGTGTTTTTCCTTCTCATGAATGTCCAGGCTTTATTGCTGTTGTTCTCTTATGTAAATGAATACACCAGACTAAACAAATAAATAATTAGATGAAGCTGTGGGCTAGAATTTGTCATTGCATCATATATCATCATGTTATAAATGATATTGTTCATTCGGTAATACTTAACTACACACTATAAATCATTTATTAAGCATTAGCAAATAGTGAATTCATTATCTGTTAAGCATTAACTCTTCATTAATAAGCGTTAGTAAGCAGTTTATAACTGCGGCTACAAATGCTCTATTCTTGACTTATAAACTTATTTAAAATGTGCTTAATACTTGTACTTTCATACTTTGTTAATGATTTATTTTTATTACGAAATTAAGTAGGCCCTATCGCATAGTTTACAAAGCATTTGTATTTAAAAGGGGTTGAGGGTTTTTAGGATCATTCAGAATGAGTTAGTAAATGATTAATAAACTATTGAAATCAACATTTATATGACTTATATTCAGGCATATATTAATAGTTACTTTGTATGTTAATACATGCTTTATTAACTCAACTTCATCTATTTTTGTGACCTAATCTAAAGTGAGCACTATCTATGCTTTATAAATCCCTTATAAATAACAAATAAAGGCTCAGTTAAATTCTAAACAGGAAAAATTACATTATTTATTGGTATTCATTTAAAGATCCACAAATGAAACTGTACTTCAAATGAAAAATAAATATTTGTAACCTTATCTAAAATAAAATCACTGTAGAGTTTAAACATTGCATATTATTATATTTTTAAATTATTACATTGTTGTTATTTTATCTAGAGGGGTGGCGCAGTAGGTAGTGCTGTCGCCTCACAGCAAGAAGGTTGCTGGGTTGCTGGTTCGAACCTCGGCTCAGTTGGCATTTCTGTGTTGAGTTTGCATGTTCTCCCTGCGTTCGTGTGGGTTTCCTCCGGGTGCTCCGGTTTGCCCCACAGTCCAAAGACATGCGGTACAGGTGAGTTGGGTAGGCTAAATTGTCCGTAGTGTATGAGTGTGTGTGTGGATTTTTCCCAGAGATGGGTTGCGGCTGGAAGGGCATTCGCTGCGTAAAAATGTGCTGGATAAGTTGGCGGTTCATTCCGCTGTGGTGACCCCGGATTAATAAAGTGACTAAGCACAAGAAAATGAATGAATGAATGAATGTTTTATCTAGTTTTATGTCGTACTTTGACACTCCTGTTATTTAGCAATGTTTAAACTTTACAGTAATTTTTACTTTTTAGATAAGGTTCCACAGATTAATGTTCATTTGATTCTGAGCCTTTACTTGTCATTTATAAGGGATTTATAAAGCATAAATAGTCCTCACTTTAGATTAGCTCACAAAACTGGATGAAGTTGAGTTATATAAGCATTTATTAACATATTAGTCAACCATCAATATATGCCTGAATAATAAGACTTATAAACGTTGTTTTCAATAGTTTATTAATCATTTACTAACTCATTCTGAATTATCCTAAAAACCCTCAATTACTCTAAAATACAAATGGTTTGTAAATTATGCGATACTTAATTTAGTAATGAAAAACCAATCATTAGCAAAGTATGAAAATATAATTATTAAACTCATTTAAAAAGTGCTTATAAGTCAAGAATAGAGCATTTGTAGCTGCAGTTATAAACTGCTTACTAACGTTGATTCAAGTAGAGTTGATGCTTAAATAATGAATTCACTAGATGCTAATGCTTGGTAAATGATTCATAGTGTGTAGATATTATAAAGTGTTACTGCAGTACTGTAACTGCTTCATTCAGGACGTCACACTAACATTACACACATTTTTTCAATTGCAATCTCCACTCGAAAGGCTGAAATTATTTCTCTTTGCTGCTGGACTAAACTAGCATAAACTAAGTGTTTAGAACAGGGGTGGGCAAACTCGGTCCTCTAGGATTGGTGTCCTACACAGGTTAGCTCCAACTCTAATCGGTGTACCAAAAAGTGTTTCTGCAATTAAGGTTGGAACTTTTTTCTAACACAAGTGCTAGAAAATTTTCAGAACTGATCAGGGTTCATGAATGTCACCATTTTGGTCCCAGACACTCCCCTTTCTTGCCAGCAGATGTTCCCCTCCCTTGAGAATTGATTTTACGCATATCACATATCCCTTTGCATGGTGCGGATTATTCAGCACCTGAAATCTATCTAGTCACTCTGGTTCAGTGTAAAGTCTTGTTTGGTCCTGCAATCACTTCTGAGCGGTTCCGGGTTAGTTGTATTATATATATAATATAGAATGGCTTTTTGTTGTTGTTGAAATAAAATTTTTGACATTGGGTAAAACAATAATGTGTAAAAACAATCCTCATATATTTAGAACAAATACATTAGAGTAACATGTCTTCATACCTCCACATTTTGGATAAGGGTTATCCCATTTTCCATTTGACAGGCATTCAATTGATCGGTGGCCATACATCATCATGTTCCCATCTGTGCATCGAAAAACTAAGATATGGCCAGGTTTATAAGGTGCAGAAACTCCTGGATGTCCCATTAAGATGTACACATTGATGAGTTGGTGCTCATCACAAGTGACTTCTGTTTGTTGAAAAATAAGTTGAATTCAGTCATAAAAGTTACAAAGCAGCTGGGAATAACTAATTGCATGAAAATGAGGGAAAAAAATATCCTATGAATTGGACAAGTTTATTCAAAACTGGATAAATTTGACATAGCGATTAGTTTTTGTTTTATATACAAATCTGTAAGCTGAGAAAATATTATATACTTTTCCTTCTATGATAATAAAGGACTACTGAGACATTCCAAGCATGGGATGGGTCTTCCTGGTGAGGCAGAGTTCCTCACAGCTTCAATACACATCTCTGCCATTTGCTTACAATAACCATGTGCTCTTCACCATACACAATTCATCTGCTTGTGTTCTTCCTTCAGATAACTTTGTCATGTTTGGTGTCATTTGACAGTTGATGACTTTAGTGTTGTAGTGATGAAATCAACAGAGACATTGATTGATTATATTTCAATCTACAACATATTTACTATTGTTGGGTCATGGCCTGAGGAGAGTATGTTAATGTTCTTCTCCCCCACTTTATCTCTTCATCTTTGCTCTCACGTTCAGCTGGTCTTAGGGGTTGGTTTTTACTCATGTTTGACAATGCTTTGCTCAGGGTATAATAAGGAATGGTAATTGTTGATCTGGGACAATGGCTTTTACTCTGCATCTCCCGCACACCAGTGCGTAGCCTCATATTTCTCAGTTTCACTGCCTTTGTTGCTCAGCAGTGCATATGTTACAGCTAATTTCTTTTTACAGTATGCTAGTTTGTTTCATTCTACCGTCTGTATATTTAAACATGTAATTTATTAAACAACTTTGCCGGCTTTAAGACTTAGAGATTCTTTCTCTTTATTAATGATGATAACAGCTTTAATGGAGTCAGATAAATAATGGATTAAAACACGCCATCCTTCAACTGCTTTCTGTTTCTGATTATTGGTACAGAATAGCAGCATAAGCTTCAAGCCTTACATACATACATATATATATATATATATATATATATATATATATATATATATATATATATATATATATATATATATATATATATTAGTGCTGTCAATCGATTAAAAAAATAACTAATTAATCGCACCTTTTTAAAAAAAAAATCACGATTAATCGCATTTAAAATACTGAAACTTGTAATTTTGCCTATTTAAATGTAAAATTAATGTAAACGCAAGAAAAAAATATTTAAATATTATTTATTTTTTTAATAGAATTTTTGTTTAACTTGTAACACAGATTTCTTCATGTAAACAACCCAGACAGCACACATACGTTGGGCCGACGTCGTGCCGATTTTCAAAATTCCATCGGTGCGATGTCGCTCAGGGAGCGTTTGCTAATTGGCAAAATGTCGCCGCGACGTCGGCAAATGATCGGAAACGCTGTCCGGCCGACGTTAGGACGACGCAACCGGAAATACCGGCCGCTCCGCGGAGGCGCTGTTCTCAGGCGTTTTGCTCATGGACCACTAGCTGCAGCAGCTGCTTATTTATAATAAACACGACACACTCTCAATAAGTTGAATATTTATTAATATTTTCACTAACATACAGATAGATTAACATACTTTTATCACACATAACCATGTTTTACCACGTTTAAAACAAAACCAACAAGTTGTACTATAACCATGGCTGAACTAATGTGCAACTAAGATTTTAAATACAAAGTCCATTGCAGCATTTACATTAAGACCATATATTTACAAGTACTTCAAAACATGTACACTAAGGTGACTATAGTTTACTATAGTAAAAACACAAATAACTTGTGTAAGCACATGTTATAATGCTTATAATTTCTTAAATAGTGTTAAAGAAAATGCATGTTTCCAAGACTATAATCTTAAAATACATGATAATACCAGTCATGTGTTCACTATCCAAAAGACTTTCTTCAGGGAGTTACAATAATAAAAGAGGACACAAACACAAAATAAATACCAAGCAAACAATATTTACAGTAGTAAATAAAATCATACAAATTAAAATAATTTGATAAAATCTTATTAAAGTCTGTAGTCAATTTTTTTTTTTTACAATTTTTTTATAAATGGCATTCAACAATTTGCAATCTCCTCTGAACTAATAACACATCAATAATATAAAATAACAATATTTTCTCAGAGATAACCAGTTTTTTTAAGCAAACTCTAATGCACGACACAAAACAGATTTTGTCATATATATATATAAAATCCCTTAATTTCTGTTTAACGGAAATATTTTTTAACACATTTCTAATCACAATAGTTTTAATAACTCATTTCTAATAACTGAGTAAATAATATTTGACTAGATATTCTTCAAGACACTTCTATACAGCTTAAAGTGACATTTACAGGCTTAAGTTATTATGAGCCAAGTTATTGTATATCGATGGTTTGTTCTGTAGACAGTTGAAAAAAATAGCTTGAAGGGGCTAATAATATTGACCTTAAAATGTTTTTTAAAAAATTCAAAACTGTTTTTATACTAGCCGAAATAAAAGAAATAAGACTCTCTCCAGAAGAAAACATCATATTTTCTTGCTCTGACCTATATATATATATATATATATATATATATATATATATATATATATATATATATATATATATATATAACTGGTTGTAAATTGTGTACCAAGAAAACAGACAAGATTAAAAGAAATAACCTGTCATTTACTTTTGTTTTATTCTTGTGGAATGTTGCTTACACATAAAAGGGGATATATAGGTGGAATAAAAAGTGTGTCGCCATCCTCTAAATTGTTCTTGTATGTTGTCTTCATCTTTAGTCTTCACAAGTGAGGCTGGCCCAAACCGGGACTGCAGTAGCCAAATCTAATCCTTGTAGTGGGAACCCTTAAATAAAGCAAGAAACCAAAAGAAGAAAAATTAGGATTGCAGCAGTTCATATTACCACAAATACATATTATTTGTTTCATGACATATAACTGGAGTATGTGTTATGCAAGTGCCTAGCTAAAATGTGTCATTTAATTTAAACTTAAAGAGTTTGTCTGAGCACTAATTTTCAGAAAAGCCATTTGAAAGTTAAATACCTTGTGAAATTATAATGAATGTTTTTTTTTTGGTTTTTAGTATCATTGTGTTAGTATAAATGTGTATCTAAATATATGTCTAATCTTCAGATACCACATTACATGCAAATTAAACTAAGTTTTGTCAACTAAAATGTCACACTGTACACCACATTTAATATATCATAGCTAGGACCAGGAGGAATCTGCAGATTTTTTTTTGCTATTTCTGCTGAAAATTTTGGTGGAAGTCTGCGGATTTCTGCGGAATTATTTTGGGAGTATCATAACTAAAACCTTAATATATGAAATAAAAAAATAATATATATTTTTAATTTTATTTAATGTTTAAAATGCAAATCCAATTAGATTCACTTTATTTGGTAAATAAAGCAAGTTTTTCATATAACATATCTAGTAAGACAGAAAATATTACTGTACAAACCTCATTGTACATAAATCAGATGAACATTTTCACATTAGTCAATAATATTACTAAAATTAAGTAAAAAACTGAATTAATATAGATTTACACACATTTACTCAAGTAAATAAACAGAATTAATGATAGGCTAAACATCTGCGGAGTTCTGCGAAAAATCCGGGTGGGCCTAATCATAGCTTTATTTCTGTTACAAAAAGGTTTTTCAGCAAACAACTTCTATTATATGTAGGCTATAGAGGAGGATATATTAAGAAATTATATATTCAACTCTCTAATTAAATGCACCTGATGCAGCTAATCGAGTCTTTTAGGCTTATTTGAAAACTTAAATGACGTGTTGGACCACAGTTGGACAACGCTCAGTGAGAATACTTTTTTGCACAAATTCTTTCTGTTCTAAAGAAACATGTCTGATTGTTAGCAATCATCAAAGAGCACACTTTTTTTAAAATAAATACTATGCTCTTAAAAATAAACTTTTCATACATCAAGAATACTAAAAATATGTTTATTTAAAATGTTTTATATTTAAAAAAACAGCTTGAGGAGAGAATCAGTACATTGGAATACTATTTTTTCAGAAGGATCATGTGACACTATTAATTATATGCATTGTATTAAATTCACAGTATTACTGCTTGACTGTATTAATTAAATAAAGCTGACACTATAAGAAGAGAATTTACCATACCAACCTAAAAGCTATGAAACAGTAGTGTATGTTTAAGATGTTACTTACTAGTCCTATTGTACTTTGGAGAGGTTGTCTGACAGGAGGATCCCTTCAACTCAGCAGAATTCTCAGCAGACCATCAGCGTACACCAATCTAAGAATAAAATAAGCAATTAGTTAAAAACCAAAAATATATATATTTTATATTTCCAGGTTTATAGGAAAGAAGAAAGCTAAAGCAGATTTAAAATGTAGAAAAAAATAAAACCTATTGACAATTTAATGGCACAACATACCCCAAACTAAGCACGCTCAAATGGTTAATTTTAACTGTTAAGGATTCATTCATTCATTGTCTTTTGGGCTTAGTCCCTTTATTAATCTGGGGTCGTCACAGCGGAATGAAAGGCCAACTTAGCCAGCCTATGTTTTACGCAGCGGATGCCCTTCCAGCAGCAACCAATACACACTCATTCACACACACTTATACACTATGGTCAATTTTAGCATACCCAATTCACCTATGTCTTTGGACTTGGGAAAACCGGAGCACCCGGAGGAAACCCACACCAACACGGGGAGAGCATGCAAACTTCACACAGAAACGCCAACTGACCCAGCCGAAGCTTGAAGCAGCAACCTTCTTGCTGTGAGGCAAACGTGCTACCCTCTGCGCCACCGTGCTGCCCTGTTAAGGAGTCAGATTAATATAAATGAATTGACATGTTTATTTAGTGTCTGACACATTAAATATTGCATTTTTAAATATTGTTTCATTTTAAGATTTATTTCAGAATTAACTATAGAACCTGGATATGTCGTCACATTTTCATGCACAGCAGCATTTCCAAGAACATAGAAAAACAGAATATAGGCCAACTGAAAAAAAAATAAATGAAAAAATTCTGAGGGTATAATCTTGGATAAAAATATCACAGTTTCACAATATTGTGATTACTGTTCTGAAATGTGTTTTTTTTATCTCTGTGTAAAAAACAGCTACTTTTTCCCCATTGAACACAATATGTTTTGTTTTAAGAAACATTTAAAATATTTTGTAACAGTAAACGTGCCAGGCTAAATAATAATTTAATAAAATAGTACTATCTTCATTAGACTCTTCATTAAAACACTGATTTCTTGTGAAGGCATAATAAGCTATTTGTTTTTCAGATGTTTGCTGAATCGTGAGCTGACCAGTAGCTTTTGATGTGGAGGGTCTTTTGCTGCTGTAAATAATGTTGGACTATTTTTTTAAGTCTTTGATAACACGCTAAAAACCATATACAATGCATCCGGAAAGTATTGATACTTTACTTTTTCCACATTTTTAATGTTTCAGTCTTATTTCAAAATGGATTAAATTCATTATTTCCTCAAAATTCTACACACAATCCCCATAATGTGTGTTGACCCGATTTTAGTTAATCATTTACAAGTCAATATTGCCTATATGGATTGTAATTTAAAAAAAAATTAACATGTAAAATTGCAGTGTTAATTGCAATGCCATCAAACATTTTAGACGCACCAGTGCAAAAAGCTAGTCTAGAGCACTTGGAATGCTGGTGTAGTTCTAGTTAAATTCAGTTTAGTTAAAGCTGTATATGCAACAGGTCTCAAGTATAGGATTTAGTATTTAACTAATCTTAACAATTAAACATTTACGAATCTGTATTAGCCAGCTCATGTACTACAATGTAACAGATACTGTATATTGCCACCTTGATACTTAAGCTTTCTTTAAAATATTTTGTGTTCAACCGATTAATTAATTCTTTCATTTAATTTTTTCAGTGCAATAGTATAGCTTACACTGGTGTATTTGTATGGACCCCCCAAAATAGCGGAGGCCACTTTCTGGCCACCCAAGTATAAACTTCTAGCCTAGCCACTGTGAACTACCTGTCTGTCCTGCTCCAGAACTCTTTGTCGGCTGCTTGTATGTCTGGACACAGCTGCACAAGTCTTTTAACACTGACAAATACAGCCTCTGCACATCCTCACAACCAGGAGAACAGAATGATCAGGAGGACCTGAAAAATATAACCAACTGAAATCAGTTGAAATGTATTTTGTCTTGTGATGATGGCACAAAAATAAATTATTTTTCACAAAGGATGTGCTGTTACCTATGAAACATTCTATAATGAATGATCTTTTTGATCCTGTTTCCTTTATGTCATTCACTCAGAAATGGTTTGGACATTTGATTGTATCTAAACTGTAATGAATTTAAGTTACAAAAACATTGATAGCAGGACCATTGATCTTGTAACTTATACAAATTGTTAAGTATTGAACAAGTCTGCAACCAAACTAGTCAAGTTAATAATACTAATCTCAACTCAACTATGATTAGTTGTCTTGTTTCTGCTGCCCAGACGGTCACACCTGCTTATAAAAAAAGGAAAAAGTATGGTATTTTTACAACAATGAAACTGCAAACAACGTAACTATAAGGGGGTAAGCAGTGAGCATCTTTTATTATAAGCAATTTACTGAATACTTTGTCACTGGTATTACCTAAAAACCAAACGTCCCAAGTTTGGCTCATAGCTGTCCACACATCTGCCCAGTAGCTTGTGGTAATACTGAAGACACTGATCAGCTGGTCCAACTGAGTTTGGAGTTGAACTGCAATCAGGCATCCAATACTGCAAAAAAAAGAGAAACTCACTTTGGGTTAACAAATAATGTAATCCCACACATTTCAAGTAATTGTGCAGTTAATTCTCTTAAAATGAATGAATGAATTCTCTTATTGAATTTTCTGAGAGCTTATGAATATATTTTGTCTTCCCAAAATAGCATGTACTGAAACACAAAATTATATAAATATAATTTAATAAGAGCGTGACGTGGTGGCACAATAGGTAGTGCTGTCGCCTTACAGCAAGGATGCTGACTCGAGCCGCAGCTGGATCTGCAGGCATTTCTGTGTGTAGTTTGCAAATTCTCTCTGCGTTTGCGTGGGTTTTCTCTGGGTGCTCCGGTTTTGCCTACAAGTCCAAAGACATGGGGTACAGGTGAATTGGGTAGGCTAAATTGTCTGTAGTGTATGAGTGAGAACAAGCGTATATGGTTGTTTCCCAGTGATGGGTTGCAGCTGTAAGGGCATCCACTGCGTAAAACATATGCTGGATAAGTTGACAGTTCATTCCGCTGTGGTTACCCCAGATTAATAAAGGGACTAAGCAGAAAAGAAAATGAATGAATGAATGAATGAATGAATGAATGAATGAATTTAATAAGAGTTAAACTGATCTGTTAACATGTCTGTCAGGAGCTGATCTACCTGTTGTCAAACTGATGAAAATGTTTTCTCAATTTACTTTAACATTTTTGTGTTTGTTTATGTTTTTATAACTTGCAGCCATCGTTAAATTTAAAAGTATTTTAAACATGCATGGACATCTAAATGCATATAGGGCACATATCTCAAAACATTATGAAATATTTCCAGATAAATCCATTTTGAATTAAAATGTATATTAATCTCCAGACTTGCATCTCCCTGATCTTTTTAAAAGAACGGCCATTCATTTGCTCATCACTGTTTGACAAGTGTCTGGCAGTCAGTCAAAAATATACTTACATATAAAGATGTTCATCAGCAACACGGCACTTAGGTTAAACTTAGACCTCCTTTTCAGTTGATGTGGAAAACAAAAGCAAAAGAAAGAAAAAACAAAACGACTGAATACAAGTTGCATATCATGCCTGTACAAATCAAAAATTATTCATTTAGGGCTTAAATTGACTTAAGGATGAGTTAAGGTGTAAGGGATGGGTGAACAGTGTAAATATACATGTAATTCATAGCTATGATGTAAAGCTAAATTTTCAGCATCATTACTCAAGTCTTCAGTGTCACTTGATCTTTCAGAAATCTTTTTTTAAGATGTTGATTTAGTGCTTGAGGTTGAACTAATATAATGGTGATTATCAAATGGTGCTGATTTGCTGCTCAAGAAACATTTCGGATTGCTATCAATGCTAAAAACAGATGTGATGACAAATAATTTAGTGTAAACTTTTTTCTAAGATTTAATAAATCAATTAATCATAAAAAATTAAACAAAATGAAAATCACAAATATTACTTCATTAGCAGCAAATCTATATATTTACTAAGTTCTGAAGAATCATGTGATGTGAAATTTAATACCACTAACATGTTTCAATGTCAAAACTTTCTTAAAACAACTGCAATAAAGACAAGTAACAGATGCATAATATAGACATGTAACATGTGCATAATGATGTGCAATGGAAATTCATATGAATTAATCCTATGCTTAAAGTTACCTGTCTTTCCTGTATCTCTGTGATCAGCTCCCTTCAGAAATTTAGGAATCTTGAGTTATATTTTCTGTAGCAGGAGGTTATTCTCTCACTCCTGAAACCACAGAACACTTTTTTTACTTAACATTTAGTTTAAGATACCATGAAATATCAAAACACGATTGAACTTTTGATTCACGGTCCTTTACAGTAACGTTACAATGCGTATTTTAGACTACATATGGAGTGCATTCAATAAAACATTGACAAAACCTCTCATCTACACATAAAGAATAAATAAAAGCCAAAACTTTAACAAACAAGTTTAACAAGAGCTAATAAGTTAACGTAATATTACCCCGACGCTAACGTTACCAGTGCTAATATGCTAACGGACTTTTACGAAGACTTACCACTCTTATATAACATAATATTCAACTGAATATTCATCAATTGCCAATAATAAATGTGTGAGGAACAGTTTTATTTAGTAATTGCTTTGTTTTAGGGACTAAACTTACCTGAAAACAGTCAAAACGGCAGCTTGAGAGAAGTCGTGTTGTGTCTTTTAGGTGGTGTCGTGTCGTGTTGTAGCTTCGTTTCCCATAGCAACATCCTCTCCGCTCCAGTGTTGGAAGCAAGACGCGCGCGCGCACATTAAAGTCTTGCAGTATTACATTTATAAACATGATCACTCCATAGACAATTTAAATAATAACCTTGTATTTTATATCTTGAATTTAAAATGTATTTAGCAGTTTTATATACGCTATTATCTTTAAGACGAGCTTTATAGCCTACTAAACTGTTACAAAACACTTTATTTGTGCATTCACTGTCAAAAATAAATAACCAATAAATATAAATGCAAGTATATATAAAACAAAGATGTCACTCTGTAAAAAGGTGTTTATTTTAATTAAACAGCCGAAATGCAGAACATACTTGATTTTTACACTGGGAAAAATGTATTAGAAAAAGCCACAATAAAAAAAAGCAAACAGCAGTTAACACCAGAAAAAAAACAACGTTTTCATTATTAAAGCATAACAATAAAACTTTTTATATTTTAATGAATTGAAATCATGTATTGTAGGCATTTTGGTCAGTTTTACTGCATTAAAGCTGGACCGACCGACGCAGTTCACATGATGCATGTCGCGTTTGTCTAATTTATTATGCACGCAAAAACTTACTTGTAAACCAAATATGTTGCCGGATTCTTTCATGGGCATGAGAGATCAAGTGCTTATGAAGTGCTTCGTCGGCCTCTGGTAGTTAACCGACGCAGAGCCGACGTTTGTTGAGCTGGAACAATAGAACACACGACCGAACGATCATGCGTGTTTGGCCGACCATATACCGATGTTAGAATTAAAGGGGCCGACGTGTTGACCTTCGGCCGACGTCGGCCCAACGTATGTGTGCTGTCTGGGAACATACCCACAATAAACCATCAAGATCCTGGCTTGACAGCCATATTTATTACAGAAATTAAAACACAGGCATGTTAATGACATTTAAATTTCAAAACAATCAATGCCAATAAAGAAAACATTGATTTCCATGTTGGATTCTAAGAGGACTGCAAAAAAAAATGCCAAAATACAGGAATTGCAGATATGGAAAATGAAAAATTATAATAATAAACTATAGAATACAAACTGTTGCACTCGTTGTAAAGTTTTATTGCTGTGAGTTGAGAACATTAATTATAGAGTAGAAACAATTTTTCTTAATCCTCCTTTACATTCATCCAGTTGCTAAGACTAGGAGTATCCCGCAAGTGCACAGAGACTCCCAAATGCCCGCAAATGAATAATAATTTCTTGCAAACCGGTCATTAAATACATTGCACACCCCTCTCCCCCCTATTCAGATACGTCGCTCACTCCACCCCTGACACCCCTCAACGGGCCTGACACAGACACACACAGACAGACACACTCAACGCGCTGCAGTCCGCCGACGTTTTGGCCCCAACGGCCTTCCATACTGGAGCGACTCCCCTCAGATTCAACACGCATGATAACGTTCATCAAATTTGCTAAGCGTCCTAAACTAAGCGTCCAAAAGTATTACTGTATTTCACAAGGATTCTGACACAACAATGCGAAGCATACGCTTTCGTTGCGTTTAATGAGGAAACACGCTAAACTTGGAGGGCTCATGCTGAAAGGCAGAGTAATGCCCTGTCTTTGACAGCTCGCGACTTCACCAGACGTTCTGAGTACATTTACATAAGACACCAATACTCCGATTTTAATATGATTAAGATAATACTCTTATTAAAATTCTACCGTGTAGCCTTAAAAGGAACCTTACCTTAAAGGATTTTCTTTCTGTTCGCCATGCGGTATCAACTTACAACAGATGTCGAAAGTTAAAAATTAAACACCCGAAATTGCATAAAACTCTGGATAACTTATGCAACTAATTGTTTTATACTGGAACTTGCCTTCAAAAAGTTCTTCCTTGGTCTTATCCACATTTATTGCATGTTGAACACACGTCCACCACAACAGGAAGTAAAAAAAACCCTGAACTGCGTTAATTGCGTTAATTCTTTTTAACGCGCGTTCATTATTTAAAATTAATCGCATGCGTTAACGGGTTAATTTTGACAGGGCTAATATATATATATATATAGGCCTATATATATATATATATATATATATATATATATATATATATATATATATATATATATATATATATATATTGCGATATGAATATACACACCAGGTGAATTGAACAGCTTTATTTGGAAACATTTAATTAATTTAGATGGATTGGGATGATCAAATTTTTAATATGCGGTGTGTTTGCATAAATTGTAATAAATTACAAGCATATATAAATACAGCAAAGCAAAGATATAAACAGTGCTTTATGGTCTGAGACTGGATAGTCTAAAAGTGTTTAACTGTATTCAGGTACAGAAATTAAACAATCAAACATAAAATAAAATGGTCAGTATTGTATAACTGATTTTGAAATAATATTTAATAATGTATTTTGTCCTTTAATCTTAATCTAGTCCTGCAATGTGACGGATACGCACATTGTGATATCGATGCTCAAACAATTTATTGTTCAGCCAAACTACACATTAAATGTATAATTATGTAATCAGAATTAAGTAAATTTTAGAACTTTTATTAAAGAAAATACGAAAAGAAGAAAAAACATATGTATAAATTCAGGCAACATTATAAACAAACACTTTGATAGCTTTTATAATACTTTTCATAGTGTATTGAACAACATGTGGATATTTAAAACATGCTTTCTTTAGTTTGTGTTACCTTCAGCATTTGTTGAGACATCCATAATCGTTAATAGAAGAAAGAGAAAAATCTTGAAGTGTTTCATGTTCAAGCTGTAAAACATGACAGATGGCTTTTTTTGCAATTTGCTAAAATTGCAAAAATTTGCATTGCTAATAATAAGTATCGACTGAATCACCTACTGAATATATATACTTGTCACTGAATATAAATAACTTGTCAAATTGAACTCAAAGCAAAGAAGTGTTTGGTATTACACATAAATTAGTATGGAATTAAAGTCTAATTACCTGTTTTCCAAGAGATATTCGTGAATGTTTGAGGCTGTTTGTTTTGCTATGCGTTTATGAAGACTCTGAGTAATGTTGCTGAAAGTAGCCGGCCCCTTGACTCCGCCCCACCAAACAGAACTCAGCCCCATCCCCAGATATTTTACTGAAAACTCAATAGCAACCTAATTTTAAGCTTAAGTACAGCAACATGCGTTAGTTTATTAATGCACAGATGCACTACAGAAATTCACATTGTAATTAAACTTGCTGACCTAGAATAATGAGTTGTGCTACAATATGTCTTATAGTGGTTTCTGGAATGAATTGGCACAGAAGTATAAAAAGTGTCCCATTCAATGATTTTTTCCCTGTTTCACATCACTGTTTCTGTGACGCCACATGACTTTGTATGATGACGTTGCTGTAGTTTGCACATTACATGAAGAAACAACAACAACTATATGAATGTATTTCTAGTATAAAACTGTAATTCCTCAAAATCAAGTTGATAGTATGGTCCATCCTTACAATAATAATAATAATAATAATAATTCCTTACATTTATATAGCGCTTTTCTGGGGACTCAAAGCGCTTTACACAGTGGGGGGAATCTCCTCATCTACCACCAGTGTGCAGCATCCACCTGGATGACGCGACGGCAGCCATTTTGCGCCAGACCACACACCACACACCAGCTGATTGGTGGAGAGGAGACAGTGATGCAGCCAATTGAATATGGGGATGGTTAGGAGGCCATGATGGACAAAGGCCAGTGGGCAGATTTGGCCAGGATGCCGGGGTTAAACCCCTACTCTTTTCGAAGGACATCCTGGGATTTTTAACAACCACAGAGAGTCGGGACCTTGGTTTAACGTCTTATCCGAAAGACGGCATATATATATATATATATAATATATATATATATATATATATATATATATATATATATATATATATATATATATATATATATATAATAAAAAATTCAAATTAGAGTGGTTGAGGATATAAAGATCACCTGAAAATTACACAAAACTGAATTACGGAGATGTCTAGAAGTTTTCCCTGTTAATATGTCTCAAGCGCTGGTGATGCACTTGTACTTCTTTCTTCTTGTCCCTAAAATGTGCTTTGTGCATTTATGTGAGCAGGCTCTGTTTTGCTTTATATTTCTAGCTTTTGTCTTCAATCTGTAGAAGACACTTTCAGGTAATAGACCCTAAAATTGTGTAGTGATAACCATTGGCTGAAGGAGTCAATGACACATTCATACATGTACATTTTAAACATTTCCTTAAGTTTTACTTGGAAAAAAATCAAAAACGAAGGAACTGATTTGAAATATTTTATTTAGATTTCCTCCATTTGTTTTTGCTTACTGGAACAGCAGACACTTCAACAATGTTTTATTCATAGTCAGTCACACACACTCAGGCAAAGTCATCGTTCCATTACTGCATTTTTGTTTGAAGTCGCCTTTCATACGTTCATTTTCCCTCAGACATGCAAATTGGATTTGATCCTTGTGTGGTGAGAATATCTTGCGTTGTGGACCATATTTCAGCTTTATACCTTTTTCATTCATTGTATCCAATGTCACTGAACAGGGCTCTGAAACAAACGCACATTTAAATCACTCCGTTACAACATACAGCCATTGGTTCATCATATATATTATATGCATACGTAAATATATATTTTGTAATTTGCTTTATATTTTTTACTAAGGCTTCTTTCAGATAAATGACACATTAAAGGTGCAGTAGGTGATCTGACAGAATACTAGCATTAGCATATTAGCTCAGAAATTTCACGACCCTTCCCTGCTGTCCGCAGCCACGCCTCCTTAAGCCATGAACACGTGAACTTGCACTGATTATATATAACACTAGATCATGTCATTCACCAAATGGTGCTCACTGCAGAGCCATTTGGGCAGAGCTGAGCTCCATCGAGGGGGAGTTTGAGCTCTCGCTCCTCCTTTCTTGCACTTCTTCTACGAGTGATGTCACTGGGGGTAGGGTTAAGGGTGGGGTTGGTGTACACATTAAAACAGCTTATAGGAGAAGGAGCGAGAGCTCATGCTCCCCTTCGCTGGAGCTCAGCTCTGCTCAAATGGCTCTGCAGCCAACAGTGTCTCTCATTCACAAGTTAGAAAACTCTATGGAGACACGCACTTTATCAACCATAGTTGTTGAGAGGCCATAGGTTGCAAGAATTATGTATCTCCAAAACTGTGTCACAGGCTGTCACTGTTCAAAAATGAACAAATGTTTGAATATAAAGCAAACTTTACCTCAGTAAAGCTGGTTTGGCGGAAGGGCACATATACTTTTGTTTTGTTATTAAACTAAATAAAAGTTAGATCAGAATAAAGGTTAGATCTGTTAAAAACAGAAATATCCTGTCATCTTTTTACGGTACACTTTTGATTACGTTACCAAGACAACGAGTGACTTTTCATTTAAAGTTGTGCTCGTTAATCCTCCTACATCGCTTGTTATCAGCTCTTTTTACACTTGAACAACTAAACAAATGCTCAGGTCTATTGAACCGGCTATATTATCGATGCTGTAAAAGGTTTTCTATGAAACTGACTATAGCCAAACTTTTGCTGGACGTTTTCAGTGACTGAACAACACCTACGTACATATAAACCCATTTATAAACAAGAACACAGTCTACAGTACATAATCTTTGCGTGGCTAAAATAGTTCTAAAACATACCTGTCTAAAAGAAATACTTCAGCCATGGTGTCACCCTTTAGATCATTGTTTTGAACTGCATAACGTCATTGCCTTCCAGCGTGCAAATGTAATTCCGATATTGATTCAGGGTTTAGAAGTTTTGATTCTGCATTTTTGGCCGAAGCCCTTTCAGAAACAATCTTTCTTTTCATGCATATAGGCCACGTTGATCTGAAGGAATTTCAGGTGGATGCAGAGTTTGCAGGATGAAGTCTCTCTGTCAGCTGTAAGCTGCGTCCCAAATCGCATACTTATGCACTATTCTATGCCATTTTGTAGTATAAATAGTGTAAGTAGTGTGTTCACACTGAAAACTCTTAAAATAATAAGTGCACTTTAATTACCCGGATGATGCACTCATTCAGCCGCTAAAATGAAGTGTGTATTGATGCTTACCGATGCTTACGTAGCGGAAGGGGCGGAGCTATCGGACGCACATGTTGGATAACTTTATTTATTTTGGATGGAGAAAGCAAAATTCTCCTAGGAGAGTGATTATATCGCCTCCCGATGGTGAATGCGGCAATACTCACGATAGGTATCATTTGATAATTCGGTCGTTTATTTCACTAATTTGGCAACTGTCAAACGTCATCAGGGAAACGGTTTGAATTTCCGTTTAGTAAAAAAACATTAGTGTGCCATTTGGGACAACACTACATACATGTACTATCCTGTTGAGTGTGTAAGTGCATAAGTACATAGTGCATGAGTGCATAGTGTATAGTGTGCCATTTGGGACGCAGCTGAAGATTTGTGCTTCACGTGTGCGCGCGCGAGTGACGTATCTGTCTGCTTAAAGAGTCTGCGCAGAAATTTTAATTTGTTGACAGACAATTTGAGATGCCTTTCGTAATTTTCGTAATTAACTTGACGGTCCGACAATATTTAATTGGATAAACATTTTTTTGTTTTATGCCCTATCCAGAATATACAAATACATATAAATACATTCAGATCATTAACTTTAATCAGTACTATTGGAATGTGAAGAGACTTTTAACCAGCACAACAAAAAGTGTTTCTGAAGACAATCACCTACTGCACCTTTAATGTTGCATTTCAAACCATATTTTTACAGCCTGCAGGAAGTTGAGCAGGATAAGGCATATTTTGTAAATCTTGCAATTTTCTTCTATAGAAACTTGCATTCGACAACTAGCTTGTTTATAGGCTTGTCAACATGTTTCTTGACACTTGACAACAACAATATCTATTTCAGTATAGTAACAAATAAACCATCATCAGCCTTGTTTAGGGCAGCTGTACTGACTGGCACTGACTAACGTTTATTTGAAAACTGTGTAAAAAAGTGTAAATTTTGTATTTCTTGACACTGGTCCCACTCTGCCTATTGGCTCAGTTAATTTGAAACTGATTTTATATTGATTAACATATAAATGCACATTTTATTACTTTTGGTTTTAAAAGGTGACAGATTCATCCTTGCAGGTGTTCGTTATATAGAAATTTATACAGTGAGATCTAAAGAGGTTAACTATTTATTGTTGTTACTATTATTAATATATAAAAAAATAACTGTAGCTTTGTGTAATTGTACATTTAGTTAATTTTTTTATTGGCAGATTCATATAATTTTTCTTATAATATATTGTGCTATTTTGAATGTATTGTTTATATAGACAGTTTCCTATTTTCTGTTTTGAGAGTTTGTTAGACCAGTAGAATTTTATTTAATCTTCACTGAAAGTTGTGGCACACATGCTTAGGTGTAGTCTGATCATACTTACTCAAACAATAAATATTTCCTGTCCATTCGCCATTCTTACAAGTCTTGAAGCCGGAGTAGGTGGGACGATCATCCAGCGTGTATTTATCAAAGCACTTATATTCAACCTTCTCCCATGCTTTATATTCTGTTTTGGCCATTTCTTTTGTATCTGCATTCTCCACATATGGTGGTGGTCCACAAATCCCTTAGGATGAAGCAAACACATGTTTTTCAGTCATTACCGGGGAAATAGCTCTTTTGATATAAAGTAATGATAACAATGTTTCATTTTTAAGCTGTTAAACCATAGAATATATTATAATGCACATAATTATAAGATTAATATGTTTAATATGCAAGATTTGTCTTGAAAAGATCTTGGTTGGAGTTCTCTAAATATAATATAATATAATATAATATAATAAAGGATGATCTACATCTTGTTATAATGTGTGTGTGTGTGTGTGTATATGTATATATATATATATATATATATATATATATATATATATATATATATATATATTTAAGGGCGTCACGGTAGCACAGTGGGTAGCATGATCGCTTCACAGCAAGAATGTCGCTGGTTCGAGCCCCGGCTGGGTC